CAAAGCTGTATATTGTCTCCCTGCTTATTTAACTTATATGCAGAATACATCATGCGAAAGGCCGGACTAGAGGAATCCCAAACCGGAATTAAGATTGCCGGAAGAAATATCAACAACCTCCGATATACAAATGATACCACTCTGATGGCAGAAAGTGAGGAGGAATTAAGGAACCTCTTAATGAGGGTGAAAGAGGAGAGTGCAAAAAATGGTCTGAAGCTCAACATAAAAAAAAAAAACTAAAAACTAAGATAATGGCCACTGGTGCCATCACCTCCTGGCAAATCGAAGGGGAAGTTATGGAGGCAGTGACAGATTTTACTTCCTTGGGCTGCATGATCACTGCAGATGAGGACAGGAGCCACAAAGTTAAAAGACGCCTGCTTCTTGGAAGGAAAGCAATGTCAAACCTAGACAAACCTGGACTGCAAAGAGAACAAACCTATCCATTTTGCAGGAAATCAACCTTGAGTGCTCACTGGAAGGACAGATCCTGAAGCTGAGGTTCCAATACTTTGGCCATTTCATGAGAAGAAAAGACTCCCTGGAAAAGACCCTGATGTTAGGAAAGTGTGAAGGCAGGAGAAGGGGACGACAGATGATGATGGACAGTGTCATTGAAACTACCAACATGAATTTGACTGGGAGGCAGTGGAAGACAGGAGGGCCTGGCGTGCTCTGGTCCAGGGGTCACAAAGAGTTGGACACGACTTAATGACCAAACAACAAGAACACCTTAAGTGATATGTAAATTCATTACGAATGTTACACTAGGTGTTTCATTCCGTGTTAATGACGTTTCTTTATTAGTGGTGATTAGATTGACCTGCAATAATTTTTGTGTATGTGTGATCTGAGTGTTGAAGGTTTATTAGAGATGCCATGTGTAAATTATGGTTTGACTACTTTTCTTCATAGGGATTTCCTGCAGAATTTGCAATGTACCTGAACTACTGCCGTGGCCTGCGCTTTGAGGAGGCTCCTGATTATATGTATCTGAGGCAGTTATTCCGTATTCTCTTCAGGTCAGTCTTCTGGGGAAAGAGAATTTGCACAAAATGTAAACATAATTGGTTAGATACTAGCAACCACTAAAATTTCAAAATACCAGGAAGTGGTTAGGAAAGATTTTAAACAGTAATTTACATAAAAACTTTTCTTGTGAGATCCCTACAAAGCCCAGTCAGCATGATCTTTAAATCTATTGCAATATCTCTAGTACCCTTCTCCCCCCCACCCCACCCCCCGAGTCCGCAGCAGTACCACAGATCTGGTTTGGACTGTTTCTCTCCGCTTCCTTGCTGTTTTTTTATGGCATGGGTCAAGATGAAGTGAGTTCACCCTTCTGCTTCTTGGCAGAAGCAACTTCAGTAGGTGAAGTGCTGAACATGAGTCATACTTTCCTTTATCTGGATGAAGATGTTTATAGCACCCAAGTTACGAAATAATCCTGAAGCAAGTATTTCACAATTTACAATTTTCACAGAGGAACTCGGAATAGATTTTTGTTTAAAACTCTTAGTAAAGACCAAAGCTAATTTTTGAGAAATAGAAAACCAACTTCAAGCTACTTCACTTAGCTTAATTTTCAAGAGGGGGAGTTGAGCAACATTTGGTTGCCATAAAATGCTGTTGTTGATATTCCACTGTCTGTCTAATCATTTGTGTAGGTAAGGACAATTCTGAGAAATATTTGTGAAATGGCTGAATAAGCTAAATGAGTTATAGGAATCCAAACAGACAAATTAGAAGTAAATCCATTCTGATAGGGTAATAGAGTACTTTTGAATCTGAAGCTTTTTAATTCTATAAGATTCAACCTGGTATGTATTTTTAACTTGTGTCTTACTTGCTTAGCGAGCTGTTTGTCAACCTTCATATTTGCAGATTTAAATTGTTCAGAATTAATGAGAGCTTTAGTGCTGACTAAGTTAATAGAAAATGATCAGGATCCTAAGACCAGATACGGTGGACTGCAGGCTTCCAAGAGGTTTTCCAGCACCCCTGAAAGCTGCTTCTGATTGCCTTTTTTTTCATGAGGTTGGGATTGGGTGGAGAAGAGAAAGTAATGTGTGAAGATCAGTGTCCGACTCCCCCTGTACCCATGATCTTTGATCTTGGTTGGTGTTTCTCCTGTAAATACCTGCCTTGTGGCTTTTAGGTTTCCTCAAAATAGATTTTAATTATTAATCCCCAATTCTATTTAATCTTCAGAGTGTTTTGTAAACCACAGTTAGTTTTAGCTGCAGTAAAATTGGGCTTGATGGAGAGCACTGATGTATATAACATTGAAATGAATAGTGTGATTATGTGTTGTTGTTTTTTTCATTCTCCCCAGGACCCTGAATCACCAATATGACTACACATTTGACTGGACAATGTTAAAGCAGAAAGCAGCACAGCAAGCAGCCTCTTCCAGTGGGCAGGGGCAGCAAGCCCAAACCCCCACAGGCAAGCAAACTGACAAATCCAAGAGTAACATGAAAGGTTAGTAGCCAAGAACCAAGTGACGTTACAGTCCAAAAATAATAAACACTAATTTGGATAATGTCTTGTGAAGTTAAGTGTTAGATCAAGGAGGTCATTAAAAACATACATTTGGCTATTTAGTATTAAAGAAAATGGACGTCCTTGGAAAATTTGACTACTAACTTTAAACCAAGTGTCCTTGTTTTTCATATCATTTCTTTGGGGATGTTGGGTCATTTAACCACTGCATTTTCTGCTCCGCATTAACCCCTCTTCGAAAAAACTGTCTTGGTGATGGGAACATAAGTAATATGATCCAAATCCTAGACCTAACACTTTAAGGGGACACTCTTCTGTTGACTTTTCTATTGGGCCAGTCTATAGAGGCTTTGGTATGAGTGTCCTTACTCTTAACCATTTCAAGTGAGGATGGAAAGCTAGGCATGATCTTGTTTGAAGTTCTGCCTAAAGTACTTGTCTGATGAATTTTTATTCTTTGTCATCAGCAGTGTCAATTTTCCATCTTCAATTATAAATCCTGGGATAAAATTATAAAATGGTATGCTTTTGTTGTCTAGAAAATATGTGATCTCAAATAAAACAACTTTTGATAACCGATATATACCTCTTAAACCTGATTCTCTGGTTAAATACTTGCGTTAAAGACTAGCACTCTGTGTGAAGAACAAGCCATAGGAATGTCTGTCTTGTGAAACCAAACTTTACAGGAAGTAGCTATATATTTTACCTTAGGTATGTTGTCAGCCTGGCTTATTCTCCATAGAGGAGCCTGCTTTACCATTTCCTAGAATGGTGCTATCAAGATCACAGCTGTTCAGGGAGATGTTGAGAGTGAATAAGAGCTGAAATAGCTGGGGAGAGACCTTTAGAAAGTTGTATAGTTAAGTGGATCAGATGCCACATCTACAGAATGGAGTTTAAATAGGATGTTACACAAGGAGAAAGGAGTTGAGCAAATAAGGAGGCTGCCAGAGAAGAAGCAGATAAGTCCTGTGTAGACTGCGCAGAACGGTCCCTAGGCAGAGGAAGAGTATTTTTGGAACAAATTGTCCTTGGCATGCAGCTAGAGAGAAATAGCAAAAAAAAGTGGTGTATACCTTCTCCAGAACTAAGAGGTTTGTATTATGAGACGCTGAAGGAAATATAAAAGTACAGTAGATAGGTTTTTTAATAATCATTTTTCTCTTTTGATCATTAATGTTTTTTAAAGCTCTATGTGGTGGTAGTTTTATTTTGAAATATGATATGCTCAAAGATGGAGTAGAAAATACAAATTTTAATTTTATACAGTGGTACCTCGACTTAAGAACATAATCCGTATTGGGACTGCGTTCTTAAGTCGAAGCACAATTTCCCATAGAAATGCATTGAAAACCAATTAATCTGTATCTATTTTTCGTTCTTAAGTCGAGGCGCTGTTCTTAAGTCGAAAAAGCTGGTTAATCAGTATCTGCCACTAGGGGGTGATTGTTTTCTTCTTTTGACCTAAGGTGAATTTAGGTCAAAAAAGGGGCAGGATTTTTTTTTTGTTTTGTTTTTTTGTTTTTTGTTCTTAAGTTTTTTTTTTGTTTTTTGTTTTTTTTTTGTTCTTAAGTGACGCTCCGTTCTCAAGTCGAAGCAACTTTTTGTGAACGGAGCTGTTCTTAACTCGAACCGTTCGTATGTAAGGACGTTCTCAAGTCAAGGTACCACTGTACTATGAGAGAACATTTTCATGTCCATATGATATTTTAATGAAGTTTTGTAAGGAGGATCCAACACCAACAGTCCCTTTGATTTGGGCCATAATTTTATGGGGTTCCATAGGCTTCTGTGGTGCTGGAGGAGACTCTTGAGAGTCCCCTGGACTGCAAGGAGAACAAACCTATCCATTCTAAAGGAAATCAACCCTGAGTGCTCACTGGAAGGACAGATCCTGAAGCTGAGGCTCCAGTACTTTGGCCGTCTCATGAAAAGAGAAGACTCCCTGGAAAAGACGCTGAAGTTAGGAAAGTGTGAAGGCAGGAGGAGAAGGGGACGACAGAGGATGAGATGGTTGGACAGTGTCACTGAAGCTACCAACATGAATTTGACCCAACTCCAGGAGGCAGTGGAAGACAGGAGGTCCTGGTGTGCTCTGGTCCATAGGGTCACAAAGAGTCGAACATGACTAAACTACTAAACAACAACATAGGCTTCTGTATAGATTCATTAGGTTACTTTTTGTGTCTTACCACATAACCTGGTCTTGTATTCAATCTAGAAGAGAGGTATGTGATCTCAACAGGGCCAAAGAATAGTTTTCAAATTTGCTAGCAGGCTGAGGGCCATCTTCCCAAGCGGAAGATGCTAGCGGGGAAGGTGTGGTGAAAGAGCCCAATTCTAATGGATTTTTTAAAAAGTTTTACAGATTTTTAATTAAAACTAAGTTTAAAAAATAAAATAAAATTTGGGCATGCAGGATGGTGAGTTCTTGGAACATGACAAAAATGCCCCTCTCCATGCCCCCATATGGCAAACGGGAACTTTTATGAGCAAATTTCAATTTAAAAAAAAACAACCTAGTTCGTATCAACCAACTGTTGCCCACCTATATAATAAGATACCATCAGAATATTATCAAGCTGGGTTTATTTCTCCAAATGTACTTCCTTGTTAATAGCATATGGATATGAGAAGTAAGAGATATGGCTAGCCCTTTCTATTTTATAGTTGTTCCATTTTTGGAGTTCTTCTCAACTTGATAAGATTGAAATTCTTGAAAGCCCAATTTAAATCTCTAGGCTCTCAGTAGTTTTATTGGGTAATGCTTATTCCTTTAGTGTAGCAACCAGTGTTGTCCCTCTGCAGCTTTGTGTAGACTAAAACAAGCCCTTACCTTAATGGATAAAATACTGTTGGAGGTGAGGTTGATCTGGGCATAGAGAAGAAACTTGCAGATAAGGAGAGGGGACAAGTAATAGGAAGAAAACTGAGATGATCTGGGCAGAGCATCTTTGAAATTTTGAGATCTTTTGAATGTAGTTTCCATTGTTTTTGACATCTATTGTGCCATTCCCTGCACTAGAAGAAAAGAATCTGAATGGCAACAGGCCTTAAGAATGAATATTTTAATTAAGTAGAAGTACTTTCAGTAGGAGATGCACATGTGCCAAAGAAACATAATACCTGGTTGCATGGATGAAACATTTTGGGAAGTATTACTTTAAAGAAAGGCAAATTTAGTTTAAGTCATGGTTTAAAACAAATAAAATAATACTGAAAGGCATTCAGTCATTTTCCTCTCAAAAGTGCATTTTTGGTTGCTATAACTTTAATGCATATTTTTCATAACTCAGAGATGTAAGTTCCATGCTTAGAAAGCCCATTCAATATGTTCTTCGTAGTGGTCTCTGCGAATGCACACAATTGGGTTAATCCTGCACCGGCGTAGGATTAACCCAATTGTGTGAATTCACAGAGTACCACTAGAAGAACCAAAGTTACAGGTAAGTAACCTAATTTTTTTTTTAAAAAAATAGCAGTTTACCTTGACAAAATTTCATACTGAATTGCTTGACAGAAATGTCTATAGAGATTTGTTGCAGCAGTTTGTACATAAACATTACACTGTTTTTCTAACAGTGAAACAGGATTTTAGCTTGTGTTGTGGATGTTTGTTTCTTTAACAAAAAACATTGGGTTTTTTTGAAAATGTTCTTATAAGTTCTGACATTTTAAAATCAAGTATATTTTAACTATTTTTTTAAAAAAAATTAAACCAGTACAGCATGAAAAACACAACATTTGGCTTATTCGGCCAATACAGTAGCCTTTTCATTGTCTGCTTCTAATCTGGAAAGAAAAACAAGATTTCTCAGTTTAGAAAGAACTAGTCCGTGTGAGCAAAACACTTTTTCTACATAGAAGAAGCGCTGGATTATCACTTAAATATATTCGCGAAGGCTTTCACGGCTGGGATCTAATGGTCGTTGAGGGTTTTTCGGACTCTTTGGCCGTGTTCTGAAGGTTGTTCTTCCTAACGTTTCGCCAGTCTCTGTGGCCGGCATCTTCAGAGGACAGCACTCTGCTCTGGTGTAGTTGGCTTGGGAGTGCACATAAGTGACTTAGACCAGTTCACTGGTATAATTTTCTTTAAAACATCATAAGCAAACATATTTTGAATGGTTGGCCCTTAAACAAATAAATAAATTTATGTATTTATTTATTTTATTTTATTATAAATCATTAATAGACAATATTTAAAGCTAAAAACATTGAATATAGAAATACCCTGTTTCCCTGAAAATAAGACCTAACCTGAAAATAAGCCCTAGTATGATTTTTCAGGATGCTCATAATATAAGCCCTACTCCAAAAATAAACCCCAGTTAAGTGAAACCCCACCCTCCACCATTGTACAGCATTTTTGGAATGCAAAAATTAAAAGACCGTGTCTTATTTTGAGGGAAACACAGTACTAAAAAGGATCATATACCACACTAAAAGACAGTAAATAAAAACTACACCAAAAATACATCCAAAGCAGTAAGATACATTTATAAACCGCACTCATGCAGTCAGTCACTCAGGGAAAGCTTGCCTGAAGATAAAGATAAAGGACAGCAAGGATGGAGCCAGCCTGGCTACCTGTGGGAGGGAGTTCCAAAGTCTGGGAGCAGCAACAGAAAAGACCCTCTCCTGTATTTCTACTAAACACACTTGTGACAGTGGTGGGACTGAGAAAAAGGCCTCTCCTGATTATCTTAATACCCGAGCAGGCTCTTAAAGGGAGACACCTTTATTGTAGCCAGTTCCTCTTTTTCAGAAATTAAGGACTGGCTCTGAAACTTGAGAATATTTGCAAACACACACACCCCAACAAAAACGAGGGTATGTTTGTTCCCCACCCCGTGTGCGTGCATGTGTGTAAAAGTCTATCATTCTGTTTATCTTTGTAACATCTCAGTTCCTCGCAAAATGGAACTCCTTTAATAGTAAAAATATTAATTTTGTGCACTTTGTTCAAGGCTGTGAAA